TTTATATATATATATATATATATATATATATATATATATATAAAAACTAATTGAAGTAGAAATATTATGTAATTGTTACTTTATTATTTAAAAAAAACTTAAGTGTAATTTTAACAAATCAGTCAATTTTAACCTTCAATATTATAGTAATGTAGTACCAACTGACCCTCATGTATATTTTACAGCATTAGTTGAGAGATTTCTTTTCCTTTAGCAAATTTGGCATGTACTGTACTGTATATACAAAATAATCGATATCGAATCGAATCGCAAGCTTGTGAATGAGAATCGAATCGTGAAATTTGTGTGAAAACCCAGCCCTAGTCTGCAGCGTTTTCGAAAGTCTGCGTTTTCGAAGGTCGAAAATGCTGGAGTAGTGTAAACGACAGGCGTAACCGTAGCAAAAGTTATGCATTTTGAAACGAAAATGCACTAGTGTAAACGTAGCCTGAGTTTGTTGTGATCAGAAGAACTTTAAAGTCTGGTAGTGTGTGATCCTCAGTCATTTAGGCTATGATGGCCAATTTTTCCTTTGTGACTGTTTACAAATTCGGTAAATGTATGATGCCCAGTGTTTTCAAATCTGGTCAGATTTTAAAAAGTTGTGTAGTGTATTACAGCCTTAACTGTTTAAAGCTCACTCAATTCAACTCAAATTTTGTGTTTATGTTGTGCTGGCTATAGGGTTGGGCTGATATACGATGCCATCGTCCATCGCCGATGGCTGACAGTAGGGCTGGACGATATGGCCAAAATTATATCGCGATACATATTGATACTGAATTATTATCCAGCCTGACAGCTATCACGATGTTAAGCTGACATCGTGATTCCCCCCCCCCCTCTCCTGCAATCCCCCGCATCCCAGTTCCGGGTTCGGAAAGGAAATGAAGGGAACTACGGAAACCCTAAAGGGAATAAATAGCCTATGAGATGGGAGGATAAAAAAAAATATTTCAATAATTTTTCTCGCAATTATATTGTTGGGCAAGTATAGGCGACTGTATATAAATTGCGGCCATCGGGGAGCCGCTATTGAAACCGCTTTCATTTGGGCGTGCTCTTTTTACTTTCACTTTCACTTTCACTTTTGAGATTCGCAATCACAAGGACTCTATACTATGGAGCGGCAGTACTTTACCACACATTTGACAAGATTAGATGTTTGTCAGTGGTGCTCAGGATCTGCAAATCATTCGCCATCATCCTATCAGTCATCTCTCCTTACTCTGTGTATGTGGTAAGTGAACTTTCATGTACTGTAATGCAACCGGCTACCGCTAACAAGCGGCTAACCTTTTAGTGGCTCCGTATAACGCATTATTTGTTTCACGCTTCAGGCACAGGATTATTTTATTTCAGCTTTATTACAATAATGAAAACTATTTTTAATAGTTTGTTGTAGTTAACAATGACAACATTCTGTAATTCTAAAGGCTGTTATCTTGCATTCAGTTGTAAAGCAGTTTCTTTTTCCCCCGTCTTTATCCAGAAATCATGAACCCTAACCCTAACTTGAAAGGTCAAAAATAAATCAGTCAAAACTGTTGGTATCCTTTTAACTGATAGTGAGTGTTGTGCTTGTGAACTCATGTGTGCAGCATCCACGTTGAGTCAGATTTTAAATTCCCTCCAGTGTGTTTAGTCTGAGCTGGGCGTGAGGATGGAGAGGTTAGTATTTGGGATTGTGTGTGTGTGTAGTGGGAGAGTTTGGTGTAGCCCTGGGCTGGGAAACTGGCTTCATTCTGTTTGCCTTGGCTGCCGACCAGGACGACCCCAATCACCCTCTTCTTTTCCACTCCTTTTTCCACTTTGTCTCCGCCACTTTCTGTTTCCATTATAGCTTTTACTGTCTCTCTCTCTGTCTGTGTCCTGTTGTACTTTTACTTTTCCATTTTGCTGCTGTCTCTC